CCACAGGCAACTAGTACATCCATCAGACAGAAGCTCTCCCCTATCTTTTATAAAAGATGCTCCAAGATCACCACAGTATCTCAAGACATTCTTTCCTCATCATTCTCCCATATGATAAGTTAGAACACTTTTGGTTTAACTGGTGAATCTTCACATCAGAATCCAGACTTTCATGCAATCAACCAATGATCCACTCCAGTCTTGTACAATCTCTTCACATCATACTCCAAGGCAGTCTTTTACCTCATCATTCTCCCGTATGACAAGATAGAGTACTTCTTAGTCAAGATGTGAATCACAAGTTCCACAATAGATCTTCAAGACCAACAAACAAAATGATGTTCTGACATTAGTTAGGACATCCTAACATATCATAGACACAACATCCAATGGTTCTTAATATGCCCACAACTGGACTTACTACTACCTTGTAATCCAAATGAAGATCTTCAGACACTACAAGAAAATTAGAGTTTTACGACACAAAAATTGCAACAGTTACTTGATAACTGTCGTAACTCTAATATATAGACGCGTTTCACGACAGTATACACCTACCGTCCTTATATTTTTAAAAGATTATTAAATATTACGACTGTTATCATTAAGTCGTCCTACAAATAAGTTCATGACTGTCTCAAGTGCCGCCCTAAATTTTATGTCCCGACGGTAGAACAACTGTCGTCCCTTAAATCCAGTAACACAAATTATAACCACTGGCGGATCTAAATAAGTCTATGTATTTTAAATAAATAAATGACTAAAATTATTTATAAAATATAATTATAGTAATAAATTAAACTTAAAATACATAAAAATGAAAATATTATATATACTCAAAATAAAACTTTAATTTTAAAAACAATTTTTATAGTAAAAATTAAATTGAAAATATTATATCCAAAATTAAAGTATTAAAATTAAATTATATATCAAAATTTTAAAAACAATTTTTATAATAAAAATTAAATATAAAATTAAACTATATATACTCATAATCATAATATTATAAAATATAAATAAACAAAATAATTCAATTAAAATAGAGAAATAAAAAAATTTATTAAAATAAAACTGTATTATGACTGGAAGCTACAGTCGTTATCGTTAGTTCAAAATTGTCAAAATTTCATCTGTGACGGTGATATCCAGCCGTCGTGCTCCAAAATTTCATCTTCTAGCAAAAAATGAGAATTATTTCCACGAATTTTTCACTTCTTTTTAAGAATGTGCCGCTCACGTCCTTGAAGATTTTAACAACCACTCATCCATCTTCTGATAGATCATGGAAATTTTCTATTTCTATTTTATGAATCAACCTCTTTTTCTCTCTCTCTCGTTTTCCTCGTTTCACTTATTGTTGTTGTAGAATTTCAAATTTTTAGGTTTCCATCATCGACTCTGCGATCCTCAAATATCAATTTGGGATAATCGATTTTCTTTTTCGTTATTATTTTCGTTATTGTAATACTCGTAATACTCAAACAACCTATTAAATCTCCACTGTTCAATTACAATCATAACCTTAAAACAAAAATATCCAACACTTTCAACTGACTCAAAACACGACACTTCCATAGTACAACATTCACGTGATCACTCTCACAGAATCATAACCATGCGACAAACACTGCCATGTTCCCAAATCACAAGCTCTCTTCCTGATCTTACGTACAACTCACCATTTCAATCTCACTTCTCTCGAGGCAAAAGGGTTTCACTTGCTTCCTTTTAACTGAAGATCCATTCAAAAAGTTTCAAACTTTGTTCTTTCCCACTACTAGAATCAGCCTTTTTGTTACATGGAAGGTGTTAAAGTGATTACTTGGCTTGTTTTCTTGATTTTTCTATGGAGTTTGGTGTCATTCGTTGTTGAGGGTACTGAAAGTCTTCTCTCTCCAAAGGGTGTCAACTATGAAGGTTTTTTCATTCACATTTTCTCAAAGTTTATTCTTTTTTATAGGTGAGAGATTGTTTGAACTAAATTGGTTTCAGTTGTATACATGTTTGTTTAGTGGCTTCTTTGATGTCTATGAAGAGTAAGATGAATGATGGGTTGCATGTTATGGATGGTTGGGATATTAATTCGGTTGACCCTTGTACTTGGAACATGGTTGCTTGTTCTTCTGAGGGTTATAACATTTCCTTGTAAGTGTTTTTCTAGTTTATATCACTTAGTTTGTGTTTGGTTATGGGTTCACAAGAAATTGATTTTGAATTAATTGATTATGTAAAAGTGAGTTCAATAGACTAAAGTTCAATTCTAGAGGCAAAATTCCATTTTCTAGCTTCAATTGTAAAGTGTCACGAGAAAGTGTCTTTCAACAATCAACTTGCTTTCATAGCATTCGCCTTTTGACACTTTTGGTTTTCTAGCACCGGTGAATCTGTTACTGAGAGTACAAAGGCTCAGGCTATGAATGTTTTGTCTTTATGGCCAATGGATGTAATTTTTAAGAGAATTGGTTTTGCCATCTAAAAAGGAGTAGTGACGCATCTTATTGCCTGTTTGTCTGTTATTTCTGTATAATCTTGATTATTAAACATATATATTGTCAGGGAAATGGCCAGTGCAGGTTTATTTGGAATAATTTCCTCAGGAATTGGAAATTTGAGCCATCTTCGAACATTGTGAGTTACTATTTGAATGTTCTGCACTTACTTTATTTACAGTTTTGTTAGGAAATGTGGAAAGTTTTTCTTATAAGTGAGTTTTTCCATTGTATTATCTTAGGTTTTTGCAGAACAACCAGTTATCCGGTCCTATACCGGTCGAGATAGGAAACCTACCAGAGCTTCAGACTCTTGATCTTTCTGGCAACCTTCTTACTGGGAACATTCCTAGTTCTTTGGGCTCCTTGACTCATTTAGTTACTTATGAGTGTGGCTTGACGAATAGATTTAGCGACGATGATTCTTTTGTTATATAACATAACTCATCATTAGCCTTTCTATAACTGTTAACTTCCTAATTTGTTCATGCCAAGAATTTCAGGCGGCTCAGCAAAAATAAGCTATCTGGACAGATCCCTCAACCTGTTGCTAATCTCACAGGACTTTCCTTCTTGTATGTGCTCTGTCGCAGTTTTGTGCGCATTTATTTTCCTTTTAAATACTTATAATTTAGTTTAATAACCCTTCTACATGTTGTGGGGATTTGTCATTCAATAATCTCAGTGGTCCTACTCCCAAAATTTTAGCAAAAGGCTATAGGTAAGTTTTTCAATGGCATAAGATTCGACTCAAACTCTAGACTTCGAGCGTAAAACATTTTCGTATTCCATAGCTCGCGAACTGAGCTAGCTACGTTATATCTTTGTAGTATTTCAGGAAACAACTTTCTCTGTACCTCATCCTCACAACTTTGTATGCGCGGTTCGAAGCCGGTAAACGGCAATATACATTAATCTTGCATCTTTCAAAACCCTATTAAGTTAGTGAATTGAAATACAAATGAAAGATGGTTCACTTTCAGATACAAGATCTTCTCAAACAATCAACAGTCATCGCCACACGTTGATTTCGGTCATTATTGGCATTAGTTGCACATTTGTAATTTCAGTGATGCTGCTCGTCTATTGGTTGCATTGGTACAAATCACGTATCCTCTATTCATCTTACGGTACTTCCAGAAACAAACTTCTTTGCTTTTTTATTCTCTTCAAAACATGCACATATTCTGATATGTACTGATTGACATTTAAAGTGGAGCAAGATTACGAATTCGGTATTGGTCATTTGAAGAGGTTCTCCTTCCGTGAACTGCAAGTTGCTACTGGAAATTTCACTTCGAAAAATATCGTAGGACAAGGTAGTTTTGGTGTTGTATACAAAGGATGCCTTGCAAACAAAATGCTGGTAGCGGTAAAGAGGCTGAAAGATCCCAATTATACCGGAGAAGTGCAGTTTCAAACCGAAGTTGAGATGATTGGCTTGGTTGTACATCGTAATCTCTTGTGTCTTTATGCATTTTGTATGACACCAGATGAAAGGTTACTCGTTTATCCATTAATGCCGAACGGAAGTGTTGCTGATCGCTTGAGAGGTTTGTAATATTCCCTTTGCTACGATCTAGTGTACTGTCCCTAAAGTTTAATAGATTTTCTCGTTTCTCTTATTCCTAAGCAGAGAGTTTCTGTGGAAAGCCATGTTTGGATTGGAACAGGAGAACACGCATTGCTGTTGGAGCTGCACGCGGGCTTTTGTATTTGCACGAACAATGCAATCCAAAAATAATCCATAGAGATGTTAAGGCCGCAAACATTTTGTTAGATGAAAGTTTTGAAGCCGTGGTGGGAGATTTCGGTCTTGCTAAGCTCTTGGATCAAAGGGATTCACATGTAACTACTGCAGTACGCGGCACTGTATGACACATTGTGCCCGAGTATCTCTCAACTGGTTAGTCTTCTGAAAAAACAAATGTTTTTGGATTCGGTATATTACTTTTGGAGCTCATTACAGGACAAAAAGCACTCGACGCTGGTAATGTTCCAGTCCAAAAGGGAATGATTCTTGATTGGGTAAGTTGCCTTAAATATTTTAAAGTTTGCATTGATTATAGATCATGAGTAAGTCGCTTAAATCAGTTAATCCTGCAGGCTAGAACTTTATTCGTGATAAGAGATTCAGAGTTAAACTTTGTGGTATATTTAAGTTGTTGGTGATTCTTATGTGTATTGAAGTTATGAAATCTGCATGTTTTGGTTTGGAGTGTGTCGTGAGCGTGCGATTCACATTGTTTTTATTCATGTTATAAGTTTATGACCACCTCTTTGTAAATAACTTGCAAGCTATATGAAGTCTTGGTATGCTGAAATTTGTGCAGCCTGCTTGTAGCTTTGTGTGAAATTTGTTAGCATAGAGATAATTAGCGTACGGTCGAGATTCAGAAGTCTTAGCGTTATCCTTATAGTTATGTTACTGTTGTCTGTTATGATTGATCTGCACTTTGTATGCTGCCCTGCTTTTGGATTTCAAGTTCTGTTCCATCATGTTAATGAATGTTACGGCATCGACGCTTAACGGTGATAATTTCAAGTTCTGTAAAACCTGGTGATTTACCAATAGCCAATGAAGTAAAAGCAGGGTATGATTCAAGCAGGTTGAGTGAGTCCAGTGAAATGGCAAGTGACGGTGGTTCCAACAAGCATGCTGATAAAGGACCAAAGAAGAAAAAAGGGAAAGCCACTGGAAATACATTAGCAAATCAACCTGAAAGTGGTGCTAATAACCAAGAGCATACTTCTACCAAATCTAAGAAAAGCCAGCAAAGGGGTAAGGATACATCTTCACAAACATCAGATTCAAAGCAAGGTTCTAGGAAAGAATCACTTAAAATGAAAGAGGATAATCTCAGTAATCCCTCAGAAGAATGGATCATGGAGAAGATTACAGCCTTGATTCCTGATTTTGAAGAAGAAGGTCTGCTAATTATGACTTTGGATATACTCTTTCTGCATTAGCATTTTATTGAATTTCTTAAATTATGTGCTACAAATTGACAGGTATTGATGATCCTGAAACGATTCATAGGAAGGTATTGTTTAAAGACAATGCAGAAAGAATGAAACAATTGCTTGATAATTTTCAGAAAAAACTTGATGAGGTTTAACTGCTTTGTAGTATCTTTTTGTACTTTCTTCATCCACTGTGTCCATGTTAGTAACTTTTCTTATATTTTCTTATCTTTTCTTAGAGGATACTTATCTGAACATGTCCTTGTGTGATTTGTTTTTTGGCAGTCTTTCTTAAACATGCGTTTGTATGAAAAAGCCTTAGAATTGTTTGAAGATGATCAATCAACTTCTGTAAGTCAAGTTAATTGAAATTTGAAGATGTTATTTTCACTGTTGAAACAAGAGTAAGTTAATGTATCTTTGATGCCCAGGTTGTTTTGCATAGGCATTTACTAAGGACAGTAGCAGCTCCTATGGTTGACATGCTTCTTCATGACTTGGTATTATATACAACAATTATTCTGTTGATATTTCTTGAGGTTTAATAAGATCTAAAAACACTATGGATTCATCCTTTTGCAGGATGAGCACAACAAATTAAAGAACGGAGTAGAAGTGCAGGAATCTCCAAATTCTGAGTCTATTTCGTTTAGTCCTGGAGATAGAGCTGCAATTGTAAGACTTGAGAGCAAAATATTAAATGATAATACTCTGCATAATGATGTCTATAATCAGAATTAGAATGAATACATTTTACAAGTTTAATCAAAGCAAACATAATTTCACATGATACTATCAATCTTAAGATGCAATGAATTCTATGATACAATGATGTTTAATTCTATTTTGAATGTGAACAATAGCTATATTAGGTTTTCAATATTGCATTACTTGGAAAGTTGTTCTTTTCTGTTCTGATGCTTTTAGTATATAGAATCTTAGATATTTGTAAACCATCTTCTTTTGTGGAACACATAAAATGACTTCAAATATTACATTTATTGTTATTTTCTTTTGTAGTCCAAGAGTTTTCCAGGAGCTCTTGCAAATAAGGCTCTTGCTGTTGTAGAAGCATTGGAAGGAAAGGTTAGCATTTTTATTTCTGAAACATTATGGTTAAGGCTTATTGTATAGGTTCACTCAATCATTTATCAGTTCACAATTGCAGCTGGTTGGCTGGAAATATCTTGTTATAGTTTGAAACTTATTTTTTCTGTTTGATTTTTGATGCTGCAACTAATATTTGAATATTCAATACAATAGAGGGTGGAAACATTCATGTCATCATTCAGAGCTGTGACAGAAGAGAGGTATTAACGTGTCTTTTTTGTTAGTTGTACTTATGGCATTGCTTTTACCAAAGCTTCTGTCTTGACGTGAAACCTTTTGTGATTAATTTTTCCAGTGGGCTGCCTTTGGAAAAGCTTGACAAGAAACTAGAAAGAACACTTCTAAATTCATATCGTAAAGTATGTCCTGAAACTGCAAGTTTGGTGAAAATTTAGAATGTTGCGTAGTTCTTGACCTGATTAGATATTATGTGTTGGATGTTTCTTTGTATATTTTGTGCAGTGTATTTTATACTCTTGAGCTTTACTTCTTTCCACCATCCTCCTCCCGGGTAAAAATAATTATTAATAATAATAATAGAAGTCAGAAAAAATTCATATGTATGTAGAAGTTGTAAAATACATCTACTGGTAGGCTTATAATAGCAATGTTTCTTATTTTAACTTTAGTAATTATGCTCATTTGTAACTGTATTTTTCTACCCCTCTTAAAGTCTTTTCACCTCTGACTTTCGGGTAAAACTAAATAGAACTCAGAGTAGTTATAAAATTCATCTAATCGTAGGCTTGTAATAACTATGCTTCATTACAATTTAGTTATTATACACTTGTTTGTTACTGTTTTTGACGTTTTTCCCTAATTTAGTTACAAATTGATGTCACCTGATGCTGCATATGAATATGTAAAGTCAATTCGGACGAGAGTGCTTTTAGCTTCCTCTCACTGGCAAGTAAGTCTGTAGCTTGTATTTCTTTTTATCACTAGTACTATTGAGGTTTTGTAGATTTTGCAGCTCTAATTTACATATCATGGTTTTGGGTAAGTTTGTTGCTGAAAATGAACAAAATTTATATTTACTATGAATGGGGAGTACTCTTTTTCTGAACGGGATCCCCAATTTTTATAACCCATCAATATTATTATTTTTTAATCCATTTTTTATTTCGATAATTTTTTTGTGTTGGCAAAACAATAAGGAGTTGTGATGGTTAATCTTCATTCATTTAATTTTTGAAATTTCAGGCTGTCCAGGACTACTATCGCCACCTTATTGTGAGAAGGGTTGTCAGATTTTCGCCTGCAGCTGATCTATTAGTAAAGGCTTCTGAGGTCGCAGCAGCTTCACAAGATCTTGTAAAATTTGATGACAATTCTGTATTCATTTTTGGCACAATGATACTTATTCATTTTTGGCACAATGATACTTATTTTATAAGATTATGATTTGATATATTTTTGGATTTTTGTATTACATGACATGATTATGGAACTTTCATTTTACATTATTATGAAACTCACGTTTTTTCGATATTATACTGTTTATTTGATATTAAGTATTGGAAATAATTTTACTACTCTAAAAAGCGATAGAAAAAATTAAAAAAAAACTATAAATAAAAATATTATTGTATAAATAATTTAAAGAAAAAAATAATATAACTATTTTAGTAGATAATAATTTAAATAAAAGAATATATTATAAAACAATATATAAAAATTAATAATGAACCGTCAAGATATCACATTCACGACAAATTTAAACCGTCACAATCAACAATGGTAACAAAAATCAAAAGGATATTCACGACAGTATTTAACTGTTGTCATTTCCAATTTATGTCAGTTCCAACCAGTCGTGAAATAGAGTTCACGACAGTTTTAAACTGTCACAATCAACAATGAAAATAAAAATCAAAAGGCTAGTAACGACGGTCTTTAACCGTCACTATCTCCAGTTTAGGTCAGTTCAAGCCCGTCGTGAAATATAACGACGGTTGTGTGTGACGGTTTTTTCAACCGTCGCTAAACAGCCCGGGGACACACGTTTCTGCGACGGTACTACAACCGTCGTAGAATGTAATTGGTGGTGGTTTTAACTGTCGTAACCTGCCAAAATAACCGTCGCAATCCATCGTTTTTCTTGTAGTGAGAGAACACAGCTCCACCAGCTTGATCAAATACAACTCCAAAAGAGGGTAATCTTCCATACGCAACTTAGGGCTTCTACCACAAGCTCCAATATATGAATAGAATCAGAACCTTCTTTGGTCTTCAAACAACTACCCTTCTGCACAAGAGTAATTTTCTTGAAGCACACTTCTTTAAATAACTAAATGCCACGGTTTGGTTACTCAGCTGCTTCCAGAGCTCTAGAAAATCTTCTGATCCACCAAGCAAACTTGATCTTCAAGTTACATATCCTACTTGCTCCATAGAAAGGCATCTTAGATACACCAAGACTTGGACCTGTAACATCTACTTCTTCTCACAGCTCCTGCAAACTGAAGTTTCTGCTTGATGTCACAACATCTGATCAGACATCCTGCTGGAGAGTTCAGGCTTTCATTCTGCCACTTAGAATAACCTTCTCCACATAACAGAAAAATAGTTCCATGTTCTCATAGAATTGATTAATGATATCAGGTTTGAGTAGACAACCTCTATTCTGTAATAGCTACCTTAGAAATGCATTTGCTCCAGAAAACTCCGCTTTCGAGAAACCAAACATGCCAAAGATTGATTCTACAGAGAAGACTAGTCACAATAGATCTTTACAGAAGGAATCCCGCTTTCCTTAAGTAGAGACTTCTTCAGAAAGTCAAAGATAACTGCCACTTATCCTTGACCTCCAAGATGAGCAAGGTCACATGTTCCTATGTACTTAGATCAGAAATAAACTGACCCAAGCAGTGTTATCACCAACACCATATTCTAGACAAATTTCTTGCCAGGAAACTTTCTAGATAAATATCAGATGCTTTCACTAGAACACACCTGTTGCACTCCAATAAACTGATCCAAGAAAAATGTCTTCATCTTCACTTCCATCAGCACTACCTTCTAACCTTAGTTTCTTGCCAAGAACCTTACTAGAATAAAAACAGATCCTACCACACATGTGTATGGTACCAAGATCATCAGTTATATCTCCTTTGATCTAGTGATTCACTCCTTGAATCAACAGAATTCTGCACAATCTCTGCTGATGGAATGTCTCAACATCTGGTTGAACATCATATCCAAACCAATCAGGGGCCTGACACTTGTGCTACAACTGATATGACAACATGATTATCAACTAAGGATAATCCATTAAATATTTGAGAATATCTCGAATAGCAATGAATTTTAAATCCTTATAATAAATCCTTCTCTGAACTTCATGGATACGTGTGTAGTCCACAAATAGCAACTGATCTTAAATCCACACAACTTGTTGAGAAAACCATCTGTTAGATATTTACACTTCAGTAATACCAAAAGTATTCTTTAGTATAAGTATCTCTAATGTGTAAACATCAAGTCTGACACCCTTGACTCAACTTGCCTATGACTTCCTCTTGATAATAGAGCCCGTGCAAGTCATGAGTGGTGAAAATAAATCACCTCCCACTAACTTCTCTAAAACAGCCTTTAGCAACTTGTAATACACAACAGAACATCCCAAGCACCCAAGCAACAACCCAGACGCACAAGCAACACAACTATGACATTCAGCAACCTGTAGAAACAAAAATCAGCAGCAACAAACACCAATTTCCAACCGTCTACACACCTACCACAGCCATACATCAAACTGTATATAATCCAATCTTCTCCCAGGGCTACTAGAGTTATTTCATAAGAAAAATATGCAGCGGAACCACCAAAAGAACATCTTCAACATGCCCTAAACAAGATGTCAAAACATACAACAGGTCATGGGAACTCCTATATCAGAGGGTACAACAACAGATACATAGAATCCTTCACAAGCAGGAGTGAACACACATTTCTCCTTAACTCCATAAGCAGTAGCTCAAACTTTTAGCAAGATCAGCAAATCAGCTACCACTTCTCCTTGTTCAAAACACCAGAAAGTATGTCTCAAGATCTCATCCAAAACAGATAGGATGCCTGCTCTGATACTATTTGAAATTCTGGTATGCATATCTCAGATGTTCCAGTCATATGTAAGAACATTGAACTCTGCTAAAACAACACAAGGGCAAAATATGACCATTTTAAATTCCTTTAAGACATACCAATGTCATGACGTTTGTTTTAACATTTGCAGACTGACAGAACTATTTTATCTAACCATTTAAATTATGCAGAATTGTAAATGCTGAAAGATAAATAACACAATGAATTATTAACCTAGTCTGGTGCAACATCACCTACATCTGGGGGCTACCAAGCCAGGAGGGAAATCCACTATTAGCACAATTAATTCAGAGCTAAACTCCCAGTTTACACTCTTCACTTAATCTCTACCCAATGTAATTTCTGCCTAGAACACACTAGACAAAAGACACCTCTCACTCCCCACAATCACAACAGTGATAACTAATTTAATACATAAGGAAGACTTTAGAAGACACTCTTCAAAGTCACAATACTTGATTTTGCTTAACAGCTTCAATCAAGAACAATACACTCTTGCTTAAAAGCTTTAAGTGAACAATTTACACTGTACCAATAACAGCCTAAATATGTCTACCACGATGCATCCAAAGATACAAAGGGTGACTTACAAAGTGTCACACAAGAGACTCTCAAAACCCTAAAACACAGAACCACACACACAATCTCTCAGTCTCTGTCTAAAAGCCCTAACTAATTAGGATTTCTACTTCTGTATATATAAGCAGCATACAGTCCTTGGGCCTAGGTGTAGAAATTAGGTTTACCCAAGATAAACCTCTCTTCATCAAGTTGCGCACGTCCAATTAGGTCAGGGGCATTCCATGTTATCCTCAGCAATGCCTGATATGTCGCCTGAGATAACTAGACTTCCTAAAATTTTTCTTGAAGTATAGCCTGAGCTAATACCAGAAACTAAAACCTGTGCGCCCTGATGTCATACGCTTGATGTCATAACATTCAGCATGACATCCAACTTAACTCTCTCTTAGCTATCCCAACTTACCCTGCATAATACGCATTATGTATTTCATAACATCAGTCATGACATTCATACATCCATCAATGTTTTGCCAAAAAATGCAGCCAATCAAAAGCATCTACAATTATTGATAGAGAAAGATTGAATCTGGTAACACTTGTTGAGGATTTGAAAACTCCTTTGAGGTTCGTGAAAGACAAGTTGTTGAAGGTGTGAGTATTCCCATAATGTTTTACTAATTATTCAGAATGTGAAGTGCAACTCGAGGGCTGTGATCTTTTGAAGAACGGTACTCAGAGGATAATTGATGATGGTTATCTATAATTTGACAGAGTTCTTAGGGAAGATGTTGTTGATGGAGCTAGTAATGACGGAAGAGATATTGCCACGATTTCAATTCCTTACCAAACCATTAACATTTCAGCGCCGGCTAGGCTAGCGCCAATGATCATTACTGTTCTAAGACACGTGTCGTATGAGAGCACCAAATCCATCCCATGGAACTATGGGGCAGAAGTATGTTGTAACGGGAAGAAGCAAGAGTTGACTAGTTCATCATATGATGGTTCTACTATTGAGAACATAGTGGATGCAGGTGGGATCACTCGAAGTGGAAGAGTATTTTCCCCACTAGAGGCCAATATTGACAAGAATGATAAGGGAAAAGGAAAGGCAGTGGTTGAAGATTATACACAACAATAGGCTGGTAGTGATTCTTTCTCTAAAGACACTGAGGAGTTTATGACGCTCATTCGCAAAAGTGATTACAATATTGTGG